ACGGTGAGACGGACGTGTAGTTCAGTTTTGGGCACGCGTACGGTGCTGCAGGGATTATATATAGGTGTAGTAGTACCTCTTCGGGCTCTTGTACACCTTTTTCTTGCTACGTGTGCGTGTTCTTTAGATCCTCAGATGGCTCCAGCACTTTCGTGACCACGGGCCGAGAGTCTTTGCTAGATTTTGGCATTTAGCAACTGGCATACGGTTTAATGTGAAGTCAACAACAACAACAACAGTCCAAACATCCAGACGGGTCGAAACCCAAGGAAACCGCCCAGAGCGTCCCCGAAGAGGTTCTCCTCCCTGTCATACAAAAGCAGGCCCATGAAAGCAGCTACAATCACATAATCACGGCGGCGGAGAGCCGTCTGAAGGCGGCGACACGCGCCCGCACGCTGGGGGAAGACGAGGAGACGACACACAACGATAACTGGTGAGATCCCGTCCCGACAGCCGTCCGTGCATCGATTTTAACCGATTTTGAGGGGTTTACAGCGCAAAGGTTTGCGAGGCGTGTCGGAAACACGACAGTCCCGTGTAGGCACGCAGCAACCCAGCAACCCGCGGCCACCGCCGCAACACAACATGCTCAACACGGACGACCAGAAGTCCTGTGTCCCTTGACGTCCTTGTAGCATCCCTTAGCATGCCCGGTCTCTGAGCCTACGCGTCGACGCGGCTCCTTCGAAAATCAACAACTACGCTCGCCGCTTGACCCTCCAATCCCACACGGCGGCCTCTCCTACGGCGTTGTGTACTGCTGCTATAGACTAGCATGTCAGTCTGTCTCCTGGGTGCCGCCGCCGGCGGTTCCGTCCGACACGTCGCCAGGTATGTTCATGTGAATGTGGATGGGCGCGAAGTGCATGGTGATAACACAACAGATGTGCGATTTGGTGGCTACGCTCGGGGACGACCTGCGAATTTGCTGGGCAACGATAGGTCACCAGTGTCAAGCGAACATGTCTCTTTGAACCACTGGGGACGTTGGGGAAATTAGCCCTCTTAGTACTTAAAGCCCAACTGAGTTGCTTTGGGGAAACAGCACTCAAGTGTCTGTTTACCGCACCGCAGTCACTACAATAGACTCCGCTGTGTGGAACGCGCGCGGGAACCTTGATCTACCATGCTTTTGTGAGGTGGTGCGCTATGTGCCCTGTTAGGGGTATCAATCGGGCAGATTTTGGAGCCAAATATGTGACCGGTCTATTCAGCGATTTTTTTTGGGGGGGCACACGGATTGGGTTCTTTTTCGGCTCTTGAGAGGAGGAGTAACCAGAAACGGGTATACCCGGATAGATTATAACCATTTCAGGGTACACTTGGAAATCAAGACCACACCAATCTCCGACAGCATCCGCCGTAGATCGCGACGAAACCAAAATACCGCTGTGTCTGTGTGTCCTGTGCCTCGGAAGCATGATGCACGAGGCAGGTCGTGCCCGTTTTTCTCTCTCTCTGCTCCTCTCTCCCTCTCTCTCTGTCCTTCTACTGATCAGTACCACGCCGAAGTACTCGCGCGTCAAGCGAGTCCGACCCTCTGTTGAGAAGGGCCGGTATCCTATGGAGGCGGTGCCCATCAACGATGAACGAGCGAGCGTTGTTGGTGGTTTGGTTTTGGGTATGTATGTGTGGTACACGGTATGTGCGGCACACGTTTATTTCTGCGGGTTTTATGCTAGAGCGTCGGGCGCCGGGATTATCTGACCATTGCTGGGTACAAAATTGACCTCTTCCGGGTACACCAGTAACCAATATCGGTCACATCAGAGGGTCCTAATTCCAGCGGAAGTTGTACCTGACGGAGGTTTCTTCAGAAATGGGTACAATGGTTCTATGGCCAATCAGCTGACAGCCTGGGGGTGCAAGCGTGTTGATTTCTAACTGTACCCTAAAGTGGTGATAAAGTACCCGGGTACCCGTTTCTGGTTATTGGTCTCCTGAAAGTGCCCGCCTACATCACTCAGTTTGTTTGTGCAGGTAGTTCTGCGCCTAGGCAGCAGCGTGGCTCTTCACACGTTACACACACCTGAACACAAGTCCAATAGAGGCGACTGTAAGCTCGGTTTTCTTTTAAGGGCGGACGAACAACACCAAAATACATGTTTTTCTTAGCTCTTTGCTCCACGCCCAAGGCGACCTTTGCTTCTCTCGAAAAAGCAAGCTTACAGCCCTCTACCTTGGGTTTACAGCTGTACCACACAACAAACCGCATCCGAATCGCATCAGCCAACCACGAGATCTACATGTCTGAAGCTGCCCCTCCAGTGGGGCTGTAGCGCCCTCACCAGCAGACCCCCAAAAACAAAATCGAGGTCCGCGCCGTTCGGTAGCAGGAGGCGCGCGGCGCGAAAGCGGAATCAAAACAAAACGAAGTTTGAAGAGAGGGCGGGACAATGTATGGTTGCCGCGTCAGCAGAAGATAACACGCGGCGCGCTATCGAACGCGGCAGCCTCACCGTCGTAGAGAGAACCCTGGAGGAAACGAAGGAGGAGTTGGTCAAAGTAAGAAAATTGTGGAAGAGAGCCAGGGTCAACCTCGCTGCCGCCGCCGCCGCCGCCGCCGCCGCTGCTGCTGCTGCTGCTGTGTTGTTCAGCAGCAGCAGCGGCGGCGGCAGGTGTCTGCGTGGCTTCACCGCCCGGCTGCTGCTCGGGTGTGTCATGAGGCATGTGTTCTAGAATGGGACCGCGCAAAGGTGTTTTGTTGTGTCCCACAGCAGGGCACATCAGAGCACACACACGAGCGGCGCCCTCGCGCGTGCGCGTCAGGTGTTTTTGGGGAGCGTTCGGACCGTTCCGTGCAAAACATTTTTGTCAGTCGATTTTCCATCAGGAGGATCCGAGGTCACTTTTTCATTTTTTTACCATCGGAAATTTGCTGCTTTGACACCCCTAACTGTTGTGTAATGCCTGTGTGCCTCTCCCGGGCCTCTGACTTGTTGCGAACATGTCTCCCGAGCCGCGTGTCCCCTTCTTCGTCCACGCCTGCAGAGCATAAAACTGGAAAAACAAATCTTGCTTGGTTGCAGCACAAGGAAGATACCTTCAGTACATTCGTGCATTTGTGCATTTGAGCACGCTCTCTATAATAACCAAGGCAGCTCGTCTCTCGGGACTGTTCATTCCCTTCCCAACGAGCGTACTGTTCTGAACTTATAACCTGTGCAGTAGACTGAGCGTTCTCCCAGGGTTCAACAGCTTCGCCTCGTCAAAACACCACTGCCGCCCCGGCGTTCTCACAGGTAGATCGAGGGGAGGAAATACGAAAAATGAACCACTACCCCGGGTCTCTTTTCTTAAGAAAATTGAATACACGAAGAAAGACTACCGGTTCGAGATACACCCACAGTCGAACGGGATATCTTGGAGTATTTTCAGTGAGTTGAGGAAAACCGGCTGGGTACTAGACTTATTATTTCGAGTGTTTTTTAGTTTACGCACTGATGATTGATGTCTGTGATATCCGCTGGTGCTAAGTACTGAAACATCTTTTCTCTCCGCTTGGCGCATCCGCCAGACACACACAAACGCTTGCATTGTGGCGTGCTTTTTATATCTGGTCCAAGCCACATCCGCGAAACACATCAGGCCCGCCATTGAGGAAGCTTGACTTCCGAAACATTTGGCTCACATTGACACAATAGATAAGAATTGAATTTTACCAAACACACGGCAGTCGTATGGTATACTCTATAGGGCAAGGTAATGGGTCGCAGGGTAGCCGACTCAGAACCTCGCAGTGGTATCTACCTGCGATGCTCTTGTGGGGTGGCGGGTGGCAGTCGATAAAAAAAAAAGACTTCTCCGGCGGCGAATGGCCGCTATGGCGTGTGCATACAGCAGTACAGTAGGTGACACAAGATACCACATCCCCTGGACCAGTTTTACAGCTTGGCTGCTCCACACCACAAATAATGGGGTGCCTGTAGTGTTCATGTGGGAAGCCGTCCCGTCGAGCGCTTTCTGGCAACGTCTTGCTCGGTGTACGCATCCTCTTCGACGTGGAGTACTCGAGCTTTACAAAGCGGTAGAGGGGGTGTATTATCTTACGTCACCTGCGGTATACGTCTTACATACGTCCCCCCACCGATTTTTGTTTTCGGTGGTGTCTCTGCACAGAGTGAGGCAGCAGCGACTGTGAAGCTATTTCCCGCGAGTTTGTGTATGCACGTCTTGTTTGGCGGCCAAAACGTCGTAGAGGACACGGGGCCATAAAACCCACGGAAGCTGAGGTTGGCGAGAGTCGGCAAAATGCATGCATGCGAGAAAAAGCACCCGTCGCCGAACAAGGGCCATTTTCCCGTGGCAAGCACTGGTTTGTTTCCAGGTGACCCCTCCCCACACACTGAAGAAACAGCAATGACAATGGCATCCGCCATGAGCTGTGTGTATGGCTCCCTTCCCCCGCCAGTGCAGTCTTTCCCCTCCCAGCGTTGTTGCTTGTTTGGCTGAGTGCTTCCTTTGTTCCAACTGCGTGGCTGAGGGCGTGTGTGGGAGATCTCCGATGTTTTGGTTTTTCACTTCCTCTATAACTCCGCGGGGATCAGGGTTACGATATCCTATGGTTTTTGGGTACAAATGCCGGTGAAGCACGGCCATCTGCTATCGGAGCACGACCAAAACCGGTGTGGTGAAGAGGGCCGTATGTTTCTTGTTCCTCACAAACCAGCAGATCGCCATTTGCCGTTCGGTGCTCAATAGACCTGGTGCTGGTCGAACAGGATGAAACTTGGGCCCCTTGTAGATAGAGCCTGTTTTCTGGTCTTTCCCTCCTCGGACGGAGGGAAAAGAACGGTCACGCTTCGCGCTCCGCGGCTCATTCTTAGGACCGATACTGGGCGAAAAAAGAAACTGATTGTCGGCGATGGTAACGAAACGTATATTTCAACCTTGACCCCGAAACTGACATTTTTTATTCGCGGGCCGCAACCATTAACAGCAAGACAGACGGAAGAAGGGTGACTGGGGTTGGCTGGCTTTGTGTCAATGGTATTTGTTTTTTGTTGGGTTCCTCTTCGTCTGACGATGGGCTGTTGTGTATGATTTGTTCCAGGGTCGCAGCAAAGATTCCATGTAGCAAGGTGTGTTGGCAGCGTCTCGGCTGCCACATTTGAAGGTCTTGTGGTCCAGTAGTGGCGTTTCGGGCAGATGTGGCGCGGTTTGGACTCCCGATCGGGAGACACGGAGACCTTTCGCGACGAATAGCCACAACTCTGGAGAAGGCGACGAAAGGCAACCTTGCTCGTGGCATAATTTTTGGAAGGTGTCGAGAGCAGCAGGCCGACCACTAGAACTCTCGCGTCTTCCTTTTTTTTTTCATCAGAACTATCGGTGCCAAGCGTCCACACCTCCAAGCTACGGCAACGGTGGTTGGCAAGCGCCCCCCCGAATGCTCTGCGTTTGTCTCTGGTGTGCATTGGTTGTTCCTGTACCGTGCGCATCAGGGGTTGCCTAACTCTCTTACGTTTCATCGCAGCTGACACGTCGTCCACAAAACGTCGTGAAGAAGGTGGTTGTTTCTCACATTGTGCGCAGGAAGGGTTGGCTGGACTACTCTGCTGAAATTTCCGTCCGCTGTCTCGCGCGCGGGACGCGTCGTCCAAAAATGAAAACAATTGTCCTTGTCTCGCCGACGTAACGCGCACTACATATCACTAATACAAGCAGTACCTGCAGAACGGAGATATCGTCAAAATAACAAAAATAGCACCTGCATATTCACTGAACTACGGAAGTCTCTCTCTATCTGTGTCGCGTGCGTGACTTACAATCTTCATGAAAAACAAAACGCATCTGCAGCACTGACATGTGCAACAGGGGTAGACCTAATTCTACCTCTCGTGCGCGCGTGCGACGTATTTATCAACAAGCATATGGGTACACACGGAACGGAGGCAACTTCGAGGGCGTGGGAGGGCACGACTGGACGAAGCGAATGAAATCGCTCCCTCTTTTTACCTGTCTCGCGCGCATGGCACACTATCCCAAAAAAGAAGGAGGCACCAGCGGATTGACTGAACTTGATCTATTTCGCGCACGTGATGCACTATCCCCCAACAACTGTACTGGTACACAAAAGGTATCTGCAAAATGGAGATGACATCGAGGGCGTGGGGCCGGGCGGAGAGACGGCCCTGGCGTGCGCCGCCGTCGCCGGCCATCCTTCCGTGGTCGAGCTCCTCCTAGACGAAGGGGCTTCGATCACCTGCACGGACAACCTCGGCCGCACGCCCTTGTTCAACGCCGTCAGCAGCCCTGTGCGGTCCGGGTGCCTGGAGGTGGGTGGGGCCGTGTGAGCAACGATATGGGTCGTGTTGGCAACGATGTGGGTGGTACCGGCGACGATCCGGTATTTTTGCGGTACGGTAAGGCCGCTGTGAGGAACTCCTGCATATGGTAAAAACTACCGTGGCCGATCGGTAACACAGCGTTTTCGTCGATTCAAACCGTGTAGCCTTAGGGGGCCGCTGATTTCCCTTCCAGCTTTCCAATCAACCTCGCGTCCGCGGATGCTGGTCGGGACCGGACGCTCCTGTCGATGGGTCGTGATGCACCGTGATCCGTGATACTTGCTGAGAACCCCCCTATCGGTTATTAGAATGCAACCTCTATCCTAAGAACGAAAGGCCAGGAAATCCCACTACCTCTAGAGAGACGTTCCCGTGTCTATTTTTTTTTTTCGCAGCGAGGTCTCTTCGTTTCGCCTGCTGCTCTTCTAGGCCCGCGAGTATGTCATTAGCGTTCACTCCGCCAGCGGATAATGTTCTGCTGCCTTCGTCGTGTAGATTGGTTAGGGGGAATGTGCTAACCAGAAGACAGTTGGTGGCTGCCTGCTGTTGCTGCCCTGTGTATCGTGCTCGTAGAGTTTTTGTTCCGTTCGAAGCCAAAATGGACCACCACTTCGGTGTTCCTGCCCAACCAACATTCTTGCTGCACGGTCGCAGGCCTACCGTTCCGCAACCCCGAACGTTCCACATCATGTTCGCACACTCACCAACCCCACCGGCAGAGGGGGTCCCTGTTTAGTGCCGGTTGAATAGTACCAATGCCCCGTGTAGTGCCAGTGTTGTCGACGGGCACATTCTAAGTTTCCATGCCATTGTCTGTACTTTGAATAGTGCCGGTCCGGTATAGTGCCGGCGAATTTTCTGGACACATACCGGCATTAAGCAGGGACCCCCACTTCTCTACTTTTCGTCTTCGCCCGTTGGGGGCGACTTTTGTTTGTACGGTAGGGGGCCCGGCTTGGCGACCCCCTGCTCAGCGACGTGCCCTGTTTAGGGAGCACGTCACACCTCCGCACCCCGATAATGTAACTGCTACTTATATTTGTAGTTCGGTTTCGGGACGTGCCCTTAATGGCGGCCACATCTCGTCGTTTGACACTAAGGGTTTCGCTACACCGGATCCCTCACTGTCCGTTCCGTTTCTCCCGAAGGTCGTTCGCCGTCTTCTCGAGGCGGGCTCGTCGGTGACCGTGAGGGACACGATGGGCAACTTGCCAGTGCACGGGGCCGCGTTCGGAGGCAACCGGCTGGTAATGAAGGCGGTGCTGGAGGCCGGAGGCGACGTGATGAGCAGGAACGGGCAGGGGCACACGCCTCTGATGATCGCGACGCAGAACGTGCGTCCGTAACGCCTTGCCTACAAATTCATTCTAGCGAAGCGAGATTTCTAATTCGGCCTGAGGCCTTGCCGCAATAGGGCTCCATCAATAATTAAAGTTTGTACGTCTGTCGGATTAACATAGGTTATAGAGTACATGACTTGATGTTAGACTTTCGGGGTCAGCCGACGTACTTCTTTTTTTCGGAGGACACAGCGGATTGCAGCAGAGGACACACGCACTGCGGGCGACACCACACAGCAGACAACACACGCACTGCAGACAGCGTACACATAACAGGCGACACACACGCTCAGCGGGCGACAGCATCTAGGCTCGATACCGCTGGACTCTCTGTGGTGTGATGAGGCTACTACGTATTGCTGTCGCGCATGACTTTTTTTGACCGCCGCGTTCAACTACCAGCAATGCATGTGAGCACAGCAAGCACCACATTAGTTCTCGAAACCTAGGACGCCGATCGCCATCGCACCACTTCGAGCGTGTGCTCCATTGTGGTGTCTCTGGGCGTGATAGTTGTGTTGGGCATGGGTGCTGTATACGGCGAGAGCATCGTAGCGATGTGAAATCCGGTTTGGCTTTTTCGCCTGGCGATGCTTCCCGATTGCCCGGGCCAAAAAAAACGATTGGGAAATCACGCCGCCACAAAGGTCTTCCCACCATGCCTAACACAGCTGTCACACCCCGAGGTATCGCAATGGAGCACACGCTCGAAGTGGTGCCATGACGATTGGTCGCTAGGTGACGAGAACTGACTTGCGTCCTGCTGTTTCGCTGGCAGTTGGAAAAGCACCGAACAAAATAAGGGGGAACAGGGGGTTCAGCACTAGTATGTGAGGATAATGTGTGACCACGAACGCGGGATGTGGACAGGGGGGGGGGTAACCGGTAGGTGAAACCACAGCGCTCACACCAGCGCACAGCAGGTGTAGTTTCAAGTGTGTGTCTGTTTCCGCCCGTGGACGCACACGCCTGAAGACAGTTATATCTATCAGCTGTCGCTCGTTGTAGCGACAGCTAGTGTATCTTTATCTATGAAAACTGGCCCATACTACGGTGCTATCTATTTTGTGGGGTTTTGTGTTTGGTTTGGGTTGACCCAGTTGTACACGCTTGAGTTTTGGTTGGGGGTAGGTACATTGATATTGAGAGGTTTGACATGGGAGTCACGGCTTTAGGCGCATGCATCATGCGTTTTGCACGTGGTGAAAGGTACACCTAGCGCGTGTGGTGTTGTCACATGGGCCGGTGAAGGGACAAACCATTTGTGTGTGATTGCTCCGCATTGGCTCTCGCTTTTTTGTTTTTCGTACCTCGTCGACGGCCACAGCTGAAACCCCTACGCTTCAATTCTTCGTCTCCTGTGTGGCTGGCTGTTCGCAGGGACACATAGGTCTCTTCCAGTGGCTGCTGCGGCAAGGTCGCAACGATGTCAACGACACCTGCCCCAACGGGATGAGCCCCCTCTTCATAGCCGCCGATTACTCCTCGGCAGAGATGGTTGAGGCCGTCATCAAGGCTGGCGGCAACCCCGGTTCTCGCACTATCGACGGCTGGACCCCTCTCCACGCGGCCACCCGGCTGGGAAACGTGCGCATGATCCGGGCTCTCATCCAAGCGGGTGCCAAGCCCGATGCCTCAGGTAACAAAAACGTACTTCGAAGTATGTGGTATGGGCCTGAGCGTTAGCCTCGGTTTGACTCCAGCCTCTTGTGCTCTTCCTTCCTCTCTCAAGCCTCTCCTGCTGTGCCTTTTTCCTCAAGAAAACCTTTCGCGGGTTTGACGTTGTTTGCTGAGCGTTTTCGGCTGGTGGCACCAGGTACCAACATTGGTGATCTCGAAACCTTGTGACCTTCTGGGAGGTGGGGGTTCGAATCTACCACGGTTTGTCGATGTACAAAGTGGATAGATTAGTTCTCGCGTGTGGTTGGCAGCATGCGGCGTCACGGGCAATGAAGGGAAGATGCGCCGAAACCCTCCTCCCGATACATGCGCGTCGATGTTTGCACCGACATTGGAGGAGGAGCCAACACGCACCGAATTGTTTCTATTTCGTGGATCGGATATTGCACACATGATTGGGAAACAAACAGGGGTAGGTGTTACAAAACGTGTGGGGTGACGACCTTGTTCGTGGAAAGTCTCTTGCTCGGACTCGTCCAGCATGAGTTTCGTTTGCTATTCATTGCAAGGCTCGAGGAAATTGGCGCGGTGTATCTGACTCACTGCAAGGTACGGACCATCATCACTTTGGATGCTCGTGTTTGGGTCTGGAATACTGCCGAAATTCTCGTTTCACACATTCATAGCTAACCACTCGTTTCCGGCAACCAAAACGCCCCAACCAAACAGGAATGCTGGACAATACTCCCTTGAACGTCGCGGGCAAGGAGGGGCAGCTGGAGGCGGCGAGGGAGCTCATGAGAGCGGGCGCTGACCCGCTGACTGTCTGCAGCAAAGGTGCCTCCCCGCTCTACAACGCCATCGTGGAGAGCAACTCTTCGATTGCTGTGGAGATGCTCAAGACGCTAGAGAGGAAGGATGAGGAGGAAGGGACGGTGTATCCTTCCCGAGCGTCGAGAGTAGGCAAGGCTCTCTTCAGGAGCGATCGCAGGTGACGCATCGGTGTTTATTTTACGTGATGCAGTTTTCTTCCCTAGCGTCTAGAATAGGCAAGGCTCTAACAAGCTGGTGGTTGCGGTGGTTGCTGCCGTAGCGAGGCTCTGTTCATGAGCGCTATCGTAGGTCGACGTTTTTTTCCCTGTCCTTGTTTGTCGCTGTGTTGTTGGCTTCAGCGACAACTGCATGTGATTTCGCAAGAGGCAGCAGTTGTTTTTTTCGTGCTGATGAGCTTACTGCAACAACTACCACTCGCATGACACTCCTGAACAGACCCCGTGCTAAATGAGCCCATCTGTGCCCTTGTACACCTCGCACTCAGGTTTATGACTCTCGTCAACGGTGCGGTGTACGGCCTCGAGTTCAAGTCGCTGTCCAAGCTCCTCAGCATGGGAGCGCTCGACCCGTTCGCGGACGAGGGGGGAGACGAGCGGGCCGCAAAGTATATCGAGCTCGTCACCCCCGCCGACGCCGGCCTGCCTCCCAAAGACCCCGTGCTAAAGGCTTGCATGCGACGAATGATCGCCAGGCGTGTCGCCTTTACTGCCACCTCTTGGCTCTGGCCCCTTGTTTTGAGCGCGGGGAAGTCGGGTGGCGGGGGCAGGGCTAGTGCCGGGTGGCGACGTGGGATGGCCCCTGTTAGTGTCGCAAGGTGTCGGCCCGAGCGACGAAGCCACCGGCAGCTGAAATTGTTCCAAGCGTTCCGCAGGTGAGTGTGAGCTTCTGGTACGGGGGGAGGACGCGACGAGGGTTCTTCAACGAGCGAGGGCTGCTCTACGTTTTGAATCACTGGGAAAAATCCGATAGGAACGAATTCGATGCCACTGCGCGTGTCCATATGTTGTGATGGATTGAGGATGTTTTTGACACTCTTGCACGATTAATAGTCGAGTGAACACGCCAGGAAGGAATGACTTACGACGGCAAAGCCGTATAATACCCGGTAGCTGTGATCGTTCCAGGATACCTTGACTGCATCCGAATGTAGACACAGTGTGTCTTGCAACGGCCCGACCAGAGACACTATCGCTTTCATAGCCTGAACACGCTATTCCGCCTGTATTCTCCATGATGTTTCTCAACCATCGCTGTTTCGGACCTCATGGCAGGTATTGCGACAAGACGGGGCCAGTATAGGCCAACATAAGGGGGCCTGGCCCACAGGTTTCACTGTTCGGCGGAAGGGACAGCATCATCTGAGATGCGTCAAGATAATCGAACTGTGGTCCTGCTCCAGCTGACGAGCTTATACCCGCCGCAGGATAGGAAGCCAGGGTTGTATTCTGATACGAGGAGTCCTTGACGACCTGTTGGCCTTTCGAAATCGTCCTACATGCCGCATATTCGGCATGGCATGGACAATATCTCTGCACCATACCCAAATGAGTTCCGTTCTCTCTCTTCACCAGGTAGACGGGTTGTTTTGCTAAAATGAGCGGGCTTGACTCGGGCGTGACTTCCCAGCAAGAGAGGTATTTTCCTCGCGTTTCCAGGAAATGTTCACAAAATCAATGAAAGACTTCCGTTCGAGAAACAAGAAAATGGTTCGAAGGCAATGGGTTTATAGTCTTACTATCAAGCATTATCAAGCATTCCAAGACTGATGGGACACGAGGGTGCACACACTCATAACATGTGCGACTGTTCCACTCCCCACGCAAGGAGGAACAGGCCGTTTCGAAATCGCGCAGGAATGCATGCCAGCGAATGACTGCGCGCCAGTGTCTTCAAGTAGCGGAAATATTCTTGGGTACGCCATCTCTTCTTGTGACGCAGTGAAGATGGGGTGGAACACTCGCTACACCATTTGAAATTTGACATTACGATGGTTGCAGAAAACGCTGCAATCACTGCACGGCCACCGGTATCTGGCAGGGCGTATTACAGCAGCCTTTCGCCAGGGTCCAACAGACATGGAACGAATTTTCGATGGCGTTTACCTGGGAATATTATCATCATTCGCGAGGCAGGCCCCTTGTTCTTCTCTCACGTTCCATCAGTCAGGTACATCAGTCATCCAGCCAACCATATTCTCAACGTTGATGCCAAGCCTCAAAAAGAGAAGCCCGTGTGGCGAACGCGTGCTAAACACAGCAGTGCACGAATCGAGCCAGCCATATTCTCAACGTTGATGCCAAGCCTCAAAAAGAGAAGCCCGTGTGGCGAACGCGTGCTAAACACAGCAGTGCACGAATCGAGCGGCGTTCGCGCTCAGGGACGGTGTAGAGCCAAGACGCTGTGGGTACAGAAGACATTCACCAATCGAAATCTATCGCAGGAAAAACTGCAGGGCTACACATAATTCGTGTCACAAGTTGCAGCAGTGACGAACTCCGAACCGAAGCGGATGCACAAGCAGACCCGGCCGTGCAAAATGCCCGGGTGAGTCGATCAAATGAAGCCATCCCACGTTAATATTCTCAACCAGAAGCGTTCGTTGGAGTTTAACATCCGTGGACACCCTGCCCGGTCTCCTGCCACGCAAAACGCAAACACCACGTGCCTATTACGGCGGTAGTTACAGTCGCCGAAAATGTCGGAAAGCGGATCTGGTTTATCGACAAAACATTACCGCCCATTCCACTATCCATGCTTTCATCCGAACTATTCGACTCCAATAACAGGCCAGGAAGGGTTGACACAGAACCCATGTTGGGGTAATTTAGAGATACCAGCACTACTGTTAAAACCCCGACAGCCAAACTTTGCTGGACCCACGTCAAGTATCAATTTTCTCCAAAGGAAAGCGCGAAGTAGAATACACCCAAGTGACGAAATTCCTGGAATGAATCCCTCGCCAAGTCCACCTTTTCTCGCAAATATCAACATCCTGTGTTCGAGGTTTTTGAGCTATGGATCTACGAGTTATCTCTGAGGCTAGGATGTTAGTGCACGGCTGGCGGCGAAAGTGCATGGCTGACGGCGAATATAGCTATCACTTTCTATCGCCACCAAGTCAACAGATGCTGGTATTTACTAGAAGAATAACGCTTAATGCGTTCGACCCAAATTTTTCACCGAGTTCACTGTCTCTTACCCCCGCCTCTCTCCTCAATAAACCATCGGTCATCGATTTGAAAAATATTTGATTTTGTTAGTCCCATCACTTCCCCCATCGCTAGTCCTTTAGACAATATATGGCACCGTCGTTCAAAGCGTGGAGCTGCGTGGCCTCCATTTCCCGCTTCGTCAGTACGAGAACTCGAGCACCCAGCCTGTCTTCCCCCACCTCTTGTTCCCTTGCACCGGCAGCGTTTGAAGCATTGGAGTCCTCAACCTGGTGCAGCATGGGGCCCTCACCCTGGCCCAGCATGGCCACCTCCACCTTCACCTTTTTTTTACCCTCCCTCCGAAAGGAAATGACGCGGGCCACCGCGGAAAGGCCGATTTCGGTAGCATCAATAGCCTTAACCACTCCGGTTGTCCTAGCGCTCGTCTCCGCCCCAGTCCCGTACGTGATGTCAGAGGCGTTTCCGTCCGTTTCGATAATGACATAGTCACCAGCGACGTACCTCCTCCCGCCATAACAATGCACGTAGAATAAACACACGGGCTCGTCGGTAACCCGGATGACTGCATTAACGCCGCTTCCCTGTACGTGCCCATCCACAACCGAGACCCCAGAGGCATTCAACGGGAACCAGGGGCACGTCGCGGCGCTCGGGAGGAGAAGACGACCGTGGGCCATGCACTGCAGCGCCCACTCGAGGCTGCCCGTGAGAGTGCCTGCCTCTACAGCGGCCTTCTGAATCTCAGACCTCGCCGCTGAGTAGCGAACAGCGGTGCTCTCGGAACCGATGACGCAGTACACTCGCCCCTCCTGCAGAAGCTGCAGTGCGGCATCGTGGGTGCATCGGCTATGTTCGACACCGTCGGCGTTCCCCCCCGCACAGCCACCTTCGCCGCCCACGTCCAAGACTCGCACCGTGGCGCCCCCGACTTTCAGGATGAACAGCCAGTTCTCCAAGGCCGCCTGGTCGACCGTCGGATTGTCTACACACAAAATCACGAGTTGGTCTTGGAACGGCCGTCCTCTGCTGGAGCGGAAAGGCATAATCAGCGGTCGGTTACCCAACCCTGAGCGCCCTAACGGCAGGAGATATCGGCCAGTCTCGACTTCGATCTCCATGCCGGAGCAGGCTTCCACGTATGACGGATGGACGATCGGCATTCCCGCCGCCACAGCAAAATGGAACTCGGGGGTGCGATCACTGCCTGCATCATGGGTAGAGGTTGCACAGGCGAGAGGGAGTGGTGTGAAGCCGCTAATAGGCAAATGTCCCACTTGGAGCGACGAATATCTGGTCAATGACTGGATGTGACAAAAACAAAATCGTCCGAATCTGGCATCGTAGGTCCGATGTCATGTACCCCATTCATCGCAGCAGCCCGATGTCTGATCCCCGACCATATTCACAATTCCTACGTAAGAATGCGACGATACACGTCCCTCGGGAGTAGCAGCAGTATCTGCATTAAGACCGAACATACCGCCCAAACGCCTGAATTGCACCAAACTGCATTGTTTGCATCCTTTCAGCGCACACCCACCAACCTTCAATGGTGGAAATATAATGCAACAGCGTATCGGTGGAATGAACTTAATATTTTCCGTAGAGGGTTCTCCTTGGCAAGTAGGGTGGCTTGCCTCCCGGGGGCAACGAGCATGTGGCGTATGGCATCGGGGTCGTATTGTTGCGTCTTGACGTGATCGCGTTCGGTAGCAAGTGCCGGTTTTGAGTACAACCTGCAGAACATGCCCAGAATTCGCATTATGTGCGGGGATTTGGTTTTCCTCGCCGTGACTCCACGTGTACGTGAGTGTGTGCAGGTCCTACTGGGGAATCCGTTGCGGTCGATCACTCGCTCTTATGTATTCGTGTTGTCCATGGTCCGTGGAAGTGTGCGATGCGCAGGAACCGAACAACACAAGTCTTCCTGTGTGCACGCCAACCAGTGTCGTAAAACAATACATTCTTGCGAAGGTTTGTCGTGGAACGGATAGAAACAGATTTCTCAGTGTTGGGCGTCAAGCACAAGCACCAAGGGTGGCTGGTGATCCTCGGGCGTGCCCGGAATGTACCGACGATACCCCTGCGTGCCCATGAGACGAAAGCGTGAGGAAAGAATCTCCACCGCCAGCGAAAGATGCCCCAAGCACATAAAAACAGGCGAAATGGTACAAATACATATGTCGCCACACGATACAGAATGACGTCACACCCCAACCCTCGACACAAAAAAAAACTGTCTCTTTTGAGCTGAGTCCCGGAAACCTCTGGTCTTTCGATACGCATGGAAATGAAAAACAGGCAACAAAGTCAAACTATTGAGGTGACCACGACAACTCCTACTTCTAGACCATGAAGCATTTGAGGCGACCAACTCCACGCACAAGAGAATACGACGGGGCTCGACATGAAATTCCTGGCTTGTTGCATAGTTAGGACCATTCTGCACGAATGATAAAGAGGACTGGAATATTTTCGACAGAAAAAATGAATGAAAAAAAACAGCAGACGAAGCTCACCGGGCGCTGCCACCGCGATTATCCTCATCTGTGGCTGTGTGCGGCTCGTCGATTCGGGCGTGCTCGCATCTGAATTCGCTGTCGCACAAGGGTCGCCGTTGCAATCACCGCTACCGCAATCATGCCTGGCAGAAGAAGGTCCCGCAGTAGCTCCACTGTTGACGACGGCCCGTGTACTCTCACGCAAGAGCCAGCTCCTCCACCCGTCACTTTTGCCGAGGATGTCAACCACTTCAGCCCCCAGGTTGCGGATCTTCGCCTCCATTTGCTGCCGCGACTGTTGTCCAAGGCCCGCAAGGATGACCCCAACGCCGGTGAGAGGACCTTCACGCGGAGGGCTGGATGAAAGCGTCGCTCCAAGGTCATCGTCTGCGTTCGCGCTCCCCGAACTTCCACGCGAAATCGGGAGCAGATGATTCAGCGGGACAGCATCGTTTTCGACCACGTCGACGTTAGCGCTGTCACTGCTTCCAGTGCCTCCGTTCTCCGCGAAGCGATCCACGGATCCCTTGCCGGTGACGACGTCACCGCCTTCGCAATGATTTGAAGCAGAAGCAACATCGGAACCGCCAACAGCGGTACCACTTCCGCTCTCCGAGAGAGCCAGCAGCTGTTCACAGCAGTGTGCCGTCAGCTTATCCCCCCGTGAACCGCCCTCAGCATCAAGCTGCTGCGTGGCCGACTCGACGGATCGACTCGAAACAGACTCCTCCATCTCACCCCTCAGCATCTCCATCACCAACGACGCTGCCACCTCTATTTCGTCTCCGCTCCCTGCTGCTGCCTTCCCGCCTTCCACCCCTCGGGACGGCTCGACCCGCCCTCGCTTTACAGCAGGGAAAGGGAGGTCCCCTTGGTAATGCCTGTCGAAGACGGCTACCCCACGCTTCTTCTCTGGTACCCTCACTGCACGGCCAGCGCCCGGTTTGGCGGAGTTACCTTCGCCTTTTCCTGTGGCGGCGGCCGCCAGCCATGCGTTCGAGGAAAGCTCGCCGTCGACGACGTCGATGTTCTCGTCACCATCGCTGTCGCCAACCACGGTATGCTCGGCAGTGTGGGGAGTTGGTGAGCTCGTCGCGTGCTTGAGCACGTGGGCGATGACCGCGTGCTTCGAGTCGAACATGTCCACGCCCAGAGTCGCATCGTCCTTGGAAACACCAGGTTTGAGGTAGACGCAAGATGGGTCCGCCTGCTCGCCGTAGTCCCAGTGCCACCCTTCCCGTCGGAGTTTCGGCCAGATCTCCAGCCAACTCAGTGCCTTTTCGACCGTTACCTGGGGCCGACCTCGGTCCGCCTGCCACCCTTTTTGCCGCTGCGCACCGCCTGCGAAGGTTCCTGGTCGGCTTCCCGTACCAAAGGTACCAGCCCGACTTCCCGTACCCAGGTGCCCGCCAGCTTGGGCGAGTTGGTGCCCTACCCCGCGACTGAAATCCCGCAGAGAGGCGGCACGGCCAGTGTTGTTGAATCCGAAAGTGGCCGACAACGCAGCGTTCGTTGCATCACTGGAGCAAAACCCAGTCTTCGTACGAGAGCCGGCAGTGACCTTCTTACGAGAGTCATGCCTACTGTCTGCGTGAACCCCATGCCACTCGTTGTCGTTGGAGGGATCCTGCCCCACAGCACGTGTAGTTGGCCGGCGAGAAATTGGAGAGCGAATTGCGGCATCCATACCGAAACGGGCGCGAAACTCTTTGGAAGAAGCGGCGCTAGTGACGGCCCTAGAGACAGCAAGCGAGTCCCTCCTGGTCTTGCTGTTGCCAAGCCCAGCTGCTCCTCCATGCGAACCACGGACTCCTCGTGACCTCCTGCCACCGACACTGCTATGGCCACCAGAGTGGTGCCCGTCTTTGCCCTCAGTGTCACCTCGCACACGTGGGGTACCTTCCGCCGCACTCTCAACTCCGCCCCCTGCTACTGCCGGGGTTTCCTCTTCAAAGGCTGCGTAGCGGGCGAAAATTACCTTGTTCCTGAGCACGTACCGAACCACCTCCTCCTCGGAAACCAGGTAGTCCACCCTCTTTTTGCCGTCATGGGTTTCTTTAGCCGGGACAACGAAGAACCACGTGTGAAAGCCCTTCCCGTCCGCGCATTTCCAACCCTCGCTTCGGAGAAAGGGGATCATGGCGGGGTATTCCAACCTTGCGGGATCCAATCCAGTGCTGGCGGACTTCGCGGCGGCCGACGCGGCTTCGCGGGTGACGGCGCCCGTTCTCGAAGGCGGCTTTGTCTCTCGGGGAGTCGACCCCTTTCGTCCGTAGCCGACCCGGTGTCCGCCAGTATCCGCAGTAGCGTTCGCGTCGCCGGACGCAGTTCGTTTCCACCCACGGGTCGCGGGCGGCTCGACCAACACGGTTTTTCGCCGTTCGCCACTGACGCTGGAAGGTGGCGTGCGCGTGACGCTCTTCTTACTCTTCTTCTTTTTCTTGCCCTTGCCTCTGTCGACAGATCGCTGACCATCGGCATTGGAGCTTGCCGTGAGCCGACCGACGGAGCCGTCGTTAGCGGCGGCGTGGCCAATCTTGGGGCTTTTCCAACCAATCACTTCCGACTCGTGCGAGCTTCTAGGTTCGCTGCAAGGGAGGGCACACAACATTCATTGGGGACAAATCGGCATGGATGAGAGAGAAGTTTCAATCGACAAGAAAGATCTGAAATCCACTTCAACCGTAACATGATTACAAACAAGAGCCGCCTCACGTGGCACATATCGAGGAACGGGGAGTAGCGTGAGCGAGCGTCGATAAAACCACCAACTGCCCGGAATCTCATCGTCGTTCTTGATGTGGACCCCGAGGCGCTTGTTGCTGTACCTTGGACTGAGATCGTAAAGCCCTGCTATTATTCTTCGTCAACTAGGCAATCCTCCCGCAACATTTCAATGCTTGGTGAACAACTTTTCTCCACTCACAGGTTCTACCAGTGGGCGGGCTTGGGTTTGGCGGCAAGGGTGTGACGCTAGGGTGCGAATGCGTAGGCTTGACATAAAAAATACGGAAAAGCCCTCCCTACCGATTGAACGAAAACTGCTAGTTGAACGCAATATTCTCGGTTCACAGATTCTAGGAGTAGGTGAGAATAGATTTGGCCGCATGGTAATGTTGCTAGGGTATTTATATGTGTAGGGTTATGATAAAATGAGCTAATAATTCCGCCAATACCAGATTGAGTGGAAACCGAAGTAGTATTATAGATACCTCCGCGAGATACGGACAACGCTTGGTTGTTCATTTTGGGCACGTACGGCGGAGTACATGCCACCATTGACAGTGAGGCAACAAATTAAGTGAACGCAGTCATTCAACCGAACCGTGCCGGAAAAGATACAATCCGTTTGGGGGAAAACAATATTATGGACCAGTGAGTGCTGTGCAGCAACCCTCCTGACAACGCAACTCAGTGCCCAACTGGTGGGTGCTGGCCACACAAACGCAGGGGGCGAAAAAAACATATGATCCCATGCCCAGCACGTCATTGGTAGTGAATCGAATTCAACACGATACCAAATGGTTCCCATACGGTGCACTGTCCGGCACACAAGTTATCGGGTTTATCATTAAAGAGGAAGAACGCGTTAGTGAAGCATTCCCTGGATCAGGAAACAGGTCTTTCTCCCAGCAGATGTCAACGGAATTTTCAGGAAATTGATAACAAAACACGCCTGAACGGAGATGGAAGTGGTTGTTCGTCCTAGGGGTGGGAAATGATGCCAATGTTCGACTTGCGAATTGACCTCCACTACTTGACCTCCAAAGAATTCAATCCTTGAAGCAGAAAAACACGTCATACCCTCGCGTTCCCGGGGTGGTCGAAATGGGTTACCATGCCCAGTTTTACCGAGTGGGTGAAAATGCCAAACATACGGCAAGAAAACAGTGTAGATGGGCTTAGGAGTACGCGACGTACGTGCGCTAGTGTTTAGATTTCACAGTCTTGCATTTCACTTTCCCAACTGACAATGTCCGTTGATGAGTACCGGGTATAGGTTCGCGGCACCCGAAACGTCGGCCTCGCCATCGACAACACGCCTGGCCAGAACGCATCACAACTCTCAAAATAAACACGTGGGTGTCGGAAGAGGAAGAATGCGAGGTGTACTGGAGTTTCAATCTATTGGTCCAATACTTAGTTTTGCAGTCACGCATTTACGTTTGCATTCGACAAGTACAACGGCCATGAAAGAAATGAGAGAAACAGTATACGAACATGGTCGTGCGCCACAGAGGGTCGTGCCAACTGCGTCGTAAAGGTGGAAGGCCTGTTCGGCATAATCCTTCCATGCCGAATGCAATAGCTCATTTGATTGCTCAACAATGTTGCACTCCGTCGATTCAACAACAAGCATCGCTTTCCTTCATTCCCACAGAACAGGTGAGCGTGTTGCTGGCCAAACGTGAGACACAAAGCAGGCAATCGCCTACCGTAACCGTAACTATCACCCAGGTCACTGTACGACCTCATCTGTGAGACTTCGGAAAACAAGGGCACCGCCTGATCGACTCGTGTGATACCCTTGATCATCCCGTTGTGATGCTGAAACCCGTTCGTGTGCGATAGAGTGAATATCACTCCTGGCATTCAGTCCACTAGGCGCAGAATTTACACTCGTGTCCTTTGAGTGAATGAAAATGTAGGCGATGCAAGCACCCTTGATGCGACGGACAGGATCCTTTGGTGCTATAGCAAGGGGTTGCACTAGAAAACCAAGGAAACCAAAACCAGTCGCCTCCTTTGTTGCGCGTAGTTCGAAGCCAGAGCAAGGAACTGCGAACAACTCTGCTCGAAATTACCATCAACCGCAGCATAGCAAACGCCTCTACTTCATTCCATAGATAAGGTCGTGTCCTCGGCATCCCTATGAGCCGGTCCCAGCTCCCACGAGACACATCGAAGAGCTTTTTAATAGTATGAATGGTGTGTCAAAATGTCACTCCTATATACTACATGTTCTCTACAATAGCGTGGAGAAGTTCACCACTTGCTGCAGCGCGAACAGCCTCAGAACGCGAATATTGAGCGAATTGACCGTTGAATACAGGGCGTGAGAGAACATTTGGAGAAACGGCCGTCGGATACAGTTTATTGGGCGGGGCGCGAGAGAAGGGTGTGTGTGCTGCGCTCAAAACCGGAATAACTCTTGGTATCATGTGCTGGAGGCCATGGTGACAAACGTTTGTGGTATCGTTCCACAGTTGGTCTGCATGGGAGTGACGTTGCCTTTTGGTGTAGATATCCTCGCGACCTGTTTGTCCGCATCAAGTCCTAATTACGTGTACGAGTGCCACGAGTAGCACCGAATCGTATTGAATAAACTTTCCCGCTATCACATCCCAACGTAACATCCAAAATTCTGCCCCTACTGGCGGCGCAAGCTTCTCTCTCGGGTGCAATTTTTCAAACTCCGAAGCTCGGTCTGCTGAGCTCAATTCTTCAGGCCCCATCTTATGTTTGGGTTGGCTGTTGGAGCTGCGGTGGTTAGTATCGAATTGGAAAAAAGTACACATCTCTCCGCGCGTGGTTTCGCTCAGGAGGTGTATGTGCGTTATGCAACATGCTCCCCACGACACTCTCTGCCCCGGCATTGTTCCCGCTTGTTGGTTCAAAGCGCAGAACTGCCCACAATGTAAACCTTACGCGACTGGATAAATTTGATCATACTATTTTTCCCCACACCGGGCTCTCTGCGGTCAAAGATCTTCCATGCATGCGTGTACACCCACAGTTCACGGCGGCAAGGATGGTGCAGCAGTGAGTCCATGTGTGAAGCTCACAAGGATGGCGACGCGGTATACGTCAGGGGGACGAACACGAGTACAGTAGTACTACTGCTGTACGGCAGTAGCATTGTTGCAGAGAGAAAAATACCAGGGCTGTCCTCTTTAACGGTTTTCATGTCAGAATCATTTCCCGCGTGAACCAGAAACAACGGTATGCTACAGTAACTGTTGGGCGGTAACTGGCCACCACGGTAAATTCCGTCGTCAGCACGGTAACGTTATTGTACGGCAACCAGCCACCACGGTAATGTGTTCATTTCTTACCCTAACCGGTCACCACGGTAAAAGGTGTACAGATAACCACACCATGGCACCTCGGGCCCTGTTTCGTTTGCTTGCATTCAAGTGTTCCTTAAGGGTGTGGTCACCGCACACCAAAAGTGCGCGGCACATTCACCGAGCATCACGTCCGTCAACCAAACCGGTCGCATGACAAGAAGGGTGACAACCAGGCAGCATAGTCAATAGCATCTTCATTGCACAGGCAGGCTCTCGTGGCCTCAAGACGACGCTAGTCCATCGCTGCGTCATATGTAATCAACAGGACAGCCAACAAGCAAGCGCCGCCTCCCTCATCCACAGAGAAACGGTGGAAGTATTCAACGGTTAAACAAGCAATACAAGAAAACAACCCCTATGCAACAGCCGCCAAAATAAAACACCAATCCATGAAAGTGGGAAAAAAATGGGTGGAGCGGCTCGAGCCCTTGACCTCGCGCAGGCTATAGGATAAAGTGCGTACTTCTTGGCCTAGAGGGGCACAAGAGTATTTTCCTGTGGTGAATGGTAATGCAACTGGTGTTTCTATGCGGTATATGGGATTGTAGTGTTCATACGGTAACGTACTCCGCGGTAAACCGAACGCACGGGAATTCCGATTGTCCGCGGTAATTTTTTTGAACGTTAATGGGGCACTTCAATTTGTTGGTTTACGGTTTGGGCGTTAACGGAAAAACCAATTCATCACGGAAACAATTTGGATGGGAAAGGCAATTATCAGTTTTCAGGGGATCACGGGAAACGGTTACTACCGTGGTTTTACTGCGGGAAAATTCCCGCGGACAAACTAACAAGGACAGCCCTTAAAACTACAGCAGCAAACAACATATTGGTGAGATGGAGTCTCGAATATGAGAAGATTTCTCAGAATATTACGACTTGGCGGACGAACAAAGACAGATCAGTTAATGATGTTGCCCAGGGATCACCGTGTGCACATGAATTTATCACCCACCACCTCTTGCACCACCGCCTCCGTTGAGTAAGGGAAAGCTACCCACCGTGGAACACGCATTGCCCGGCCACTTTGAAAGCAAAGAGGGACAAGGAGTCACCTAGGCGAGTAAAGTTGTGTCATGGTCCGTTGGTTTTCGACCTGCAAACATCAATCTAGGCCACTCAGCTTTCTTTTTTCGGGGTCGAACAAGTTAAAATGAGCTGATATGCAGGTCGCCTGCTACGCACGGCTGTAAGACCACTCCTCCTTCTACACGTACATGTAGGAAGGAGAGGAGGTCAATCCATAGCACCAACGCCATTGTGCGACAGCATGGATAGCGTTGAGATGGTCGGATGGATGCATAGATTCGAACATATGCGTACGTGTACATAGTTTCTGCGTTGCGGCAAGCAGCAGGAAAGAGCCGACAGATGTCATATCACGTACTTTCCCTCTCATGCCTTTCCGCACTCCTTTCGTGCTTCGACGGCGTGTTGTTTCTCACACACGCAAGCCATAGGATTGGGCACACTCCTTCTTGCTAGAGCCAGGCTATGGCAGTCAGTCATGGCGGCCCAGTCTCTCGTGCACGACGGCCAG